AACAATAAGTTTCGGGCAAGGGAGAAGGAATTCAGGTAAACAAGCCAATCAGTAACAGGACAATAGGTTTGGGAAAACAAGTCGTGCCTAATCTCTTTCTTATCGCTGACAAGTCTCCAGCATGTCGTATACAGCATAGAGGCCTGTGGGGGCTGCCATTGTCAATAGTGCAGCCATGTTTAAATGGCATATATCCCCACATTTACCCCCTCTTGTTTAGTTAATGGAATAAGAATCGAGAGGGTTTTTACTGGTCCAACTAGTGGCTGTTAGGACAAAGTAAAATTTTCTCTACGAGATAAAGTCTAAGATTATCTCAGCTACTGTCTCTACACCTCAGGGCCTGGCGACTTAGTGAGTCCTTGTGAGCCTAGCTACAGCTGGGGCACACTCCATATGTTTAAGGAGGAGAAGTAGCATAGCTACGAGTAACACCTGGACTTAGTCGCCTAGATGGCGGCCATAGCAGGCTCTTTAACCTCACGGTGCTGGTTTGCCACCGGATACCATTTGGTTTTTCACCAGGTTGTTACTTAATGCCTGGACTTAGTCTCCTAGATGGCGGCCGTAGCAACCTCTTTAAAATCACAGTGCTGGTTTTCCACTGGATACCATCTGGTTCTTCACCAGGTTACTAAGTAAGAGCGATGCTCTTATCAATTGCATAGCCGGAGTGAGCAGACTCAATGTGTCTTTCAGGTGTGTAAGACAATAGAGGATGATCTTATGAGGATAATATAATCCTCTGCACTAGTAATATCCTGATTGTTGGACCCATTGGTTTCCTCTGACTCTCATTTTGTCAGGTAAACACTAACTTTTTACATCCACTGAAATTATTATTCTTAAAGGCTTACAGATTTATAAAGGTTCAAAAATTCATTAACAATCAAACAAGCAATGATTTACACAGCTTTGCCATTCCTTGGAAGGGAATTACCAGGAAGGGTAATTTACACATCATAACAGATTTAACAATCAAACATACATTGATTTACACAAATTTACTATCAATTGGAAAGGAATCATCTAACTTAGGAATCTATCTATACAGAAGCATCTAACTAGGAGAAGCAGAAAAGATAGAGGACTTCACACGTAACAAATTTTCATTCAGAACTTACTGATTAACAAATTACTGATTAACAAGATAATATAGGATGAGTATTGAGGATTGATTATCACAAGGGAAACCATAGCTAGAAACAGGTTTTCAGGTGTAAGTGGGGCACCTGTAGTTGAGAGGATATGCTCAGCTTTGGAGGAGAGGGCTTTCAGACCTCCCCATGTTACCAGTATTGCAGATCTCTGTTGTTCAATGTCCATCCCCGGGGGAAGGGGTGATTTGGGGTCAGATCGCAGCACTTCAGTGTTCATCCCCGGGGGAAGGTGTGCCGGTGTCAGTTGTAGCTCTGGAGTCGAGTTGGATGGCTGCTCCAGCAGCTGCAGCAGGGGCAGTGGCAGCGGTTCCGAGAAGGGAAGGGGCGGAGGTGCAGGGCAGAGTGTGCCGGTGCGTGGGGGAGCCACATTGCGGGGCACGTCTGGGACCCCTAGTTGCGGCCAGAGTGCAGAGCCTGCTTTTGCCTGCCCAGAGCCTCCAGGCAGGGACATCCTGGGCGGTGACACCCCAGGCGACCGGGCCGGCGAGCCCGGGCAGCAGGGCTCGGAGCACCACGGGAGAGATGGAGCGTGGGCCACACTGCAGCTGGAGCGGGAATCCAAAGTGGATCTGTAGGAGACAAAATAGCCACGTACCCTCGCCCCCAGTTAATAATTCTGCCGTTCCTTGCCATACAGAGGGATTTTGAGGATCTTTATAGAGGACCTGTGGGCAAGGTCGAGTGTCAGGGGGGATAAAATGCCATTCTGCAGCAGTACGACCATCTTTAGCAACCGATAAAAAGTTAAAAAATAAAGAGAGCATTGGCAAGTCTTTCATTTCTGGTCACATGCTCTAGACCCATCATCTCCCCCCTTTTGTTTATTTAAGAGCTGTTTGAGAGTATTATGGGAACATTTAATTATGGCTTTCCCTTGAGGGTTATAAGGAATGCCAGTGGAATGAAGAATATTCTAAGTGGCACAAAATTGTTGAAATTTAGCCAAAGTATACACAGGCCCATTATCAGTTTTAAGAGCTTGGGGACATCCCATAGTCCAATGGCTTGGGTGAAATGATGACAGGCAAGAGTTGAACGTTCCCCAGAAAGGGCTGTGGCATAAAGAAACCCAGAACATGTATCAATAGATACATGGAGATATTTAAGTTTCCCAAAGGGAGGCTAGTGTGTTACATCCATTTGCCACAATTGATTGGCAATTAGACCACGTGGGTTGACACCAGCAGCAAAGGACATGGGAGAAAAGCGTTGGCAGTCAGGACAGTTGCGAACAATATGTTGTGGTTCAGTAAGGGAGATAGAAAATTGTTTTTGAAGTCCAAGTGCATTTTCATTAAAGAAATTATGAGAAGTTCATGCATTAGAAAAGGCAGAGCCAGCAAGTAAATTGGCGTGAGAATTGCCATCAGAAAGAGGCCCCAGCAAGGGTGTATGGTAGCGCACATGTACCACAAAAAAGGGAGAGTTACGGCTATTAAGCAGGGCTTGGAGCCTTTTAAATAAAATAAATAACTCATAATAGGAACTAAA